GCCCCGCGGAGGTGGGACAGGCAGGTGCGGGCAGCGCTGTGTGTGCCCAGCCCGGGCTCACGCACTCGGTGTGCCGGCCCCGCACAGCCCCGGCTCCTCCGAGCCGTCCAGGGAGGTCCTGGGGGCGCGGAGGGAGGGGGGGCTGCGGGGCCGCGCTTACCCGCGCGTGGATTGACCGCCGGCGGCAGAGGAAAAAGAGCTCTCCCGGGAAACAGGCTGAGGTCAGGAAGCGGGTGCTCCGGGCCAGCCCCAGGAGCGAAGAGCGGGAGCAGCAGCCTCCTCCCGGGCTTAAGGAATTCGGGTGGTCCCAGCGCGGGCTCTCTTCGAATCGACAGCGCTGAGCCGGGACAGGGGGCCCAGCCGGTGCCGCCCCGGCGGTGGCGCAGCGGGGACAAGTGCCGGGTGCCGGTGGCGCTGGAAATCGCCGACGGGGCGGGCGAGGACAGCGCGAACAGGCAGGCGGCTCTGAGGAGGGTGACAGCGGCGAGGAGCCAGCGGGCGGCAGGGCAAGGCAGGACGGGGCAGAGGTGGCCGAGCCCAGCGCCCCCAGGGGCGCAGCAGGGCCCGGGCCCCCCCCGGGCACAAAGCGCACTGCGCATCCCAAACTATCGGGAATACAGGTTTGGGGAGCAGTTCTCAGTGCAGCCTTGACAGGCAGGGGGAGTTTGTTTAGTGCTCATTGGGAAAGGAACAAAATCCTTTTGAAAGGGCGCTAAGTAGTTTCACGCCAAAGTGGCAGATTCGGTGAAGAATGTGGGGTGGGACAAAGCCCCGCCGTTCCCAGCGCCTCGGGAAACCGCACCGGGAATTCAAGCACACAGAAAAGCAGGAGACCCCAAATCTCTCTGCTTCCTTCTCCCTCCCGGCCCCCGAGAAGCGAAAAGAAGCAGAACCATTACTGAAAAAAAGAGAGCAAGGCTTAGCCGAAACGCAGCCACAACCAGCAGCCCGGAGTTGACTTTCCAAAACGGGGGAAGCTTGCTCAGAGCCTGGCATTGTGTTTTGCAGCCTAGGAAACCCTAAGAAGCTGGTACTTCCCCCTCCCTTCTCCTTTCTCCCAACTGGTTTGTAAATATTAACAAGGTTGTGAGCTATTCTCTCACACGGAGAGGGTTTTTTCTATCCTTGGAAAACTTCTTGGCTTCCCCCCACAGCCCCTCTCCCACTCCTCCCCTCTGCAAAGCTGCACACCTGCTTGCAGCCACAAGGATTCAAAATCAATATTGTATTTGTCACTTTTCTGTCTCCTTTTCCTCTCTCAACAGACCTGCTTGCCACTGAGGCGAATTGTGGATTTATGGAGGAAAATTAGCATAAATTATTACCAAATCTGTAAACGTGTGTGGTCTTGCTTGTGGGAAAGGGGGCTATTGCAAACCTTCCATGCAGAAAGGTGGTCCATGATGGGCTCCATGCAAGGGCTGAATGGCCCTTGCACGAAATAGATTTCCATTGGGTTTGCACATTGATATAATTGACTTATGTGTATTTTATACAGTTTTCCCAACACTTCCTCTGAGCTCCTTATTTGAATTAGGCTTCAGAAAAACGTCTATTTGTTTTGGTGTCCTACACAATGGATTTGGATTCACTTGCACCCTCTCCTCCTCCCTAGTGTTGGCTTTCAAAGTAAAAGGCAAATGCTACAAGTTGCATTTAAATCCTGTATTTCCCAGGTCCATCATCTGCTGTGTGCTTAACACGAGGTGAAACTTTGGGTATCAATTGCTGTAATGACTTCGCCTGCCCTACCCCTCCGCTCACACATTCCTTTGCAATGGGGAAAAAAAAAAAAAAAAAAAAAGAGAGAGAAAAAAAAATCGGGCGCCTTTCAGCCATACCTCGTTCGCGCTCGGAGCAGCAAATGACAACGGAAGTCGACTTTTCTTTAACTTTACAGCGTGAGAGTCCCTCTTGCACCAGCGGTTGTTTTGTTTTGTTTTCTTTCTTCGAAAAGAAAAGGTACCGGCAAAAAGAGGAAGAAAAGAATTTGTCACTTTGTGAATCTTACTGAGTCCCGTGCTGTTTCTGAGCCCTCTTTTTGATGGGCATCCCAGGAGTGAACTTGGGCTGAGGAACAAGACCCGAACGGAGGGGTGTCAGGAGCTGGGGCTGGGGGGGGTGTGGGAGGAAAGTGTCCCTTACACCCGCGTATTTGGGGGCTCTCGATACAGAAATAGACGCCTTCTGCGTGGTGTCCTAGGGGACGCTGGGAGGAATCTGTCCTCATTTCTGAGTATTGTCTTTCCTACCCTCTAACAAACCTTCATCGTCTCATCACCTCTTATTCCCCCCCCCCCCAAAAAAAAAAAAAGAAAAGAATTTCTGGAGGCTGCCTCCCCGCCCTGCCCGGCTGGAGGGAGCGTCTCGGGGCGGGTTAAGCCGAGCAGGGCAGCTCCGGGCTCTGAACAGCACAAACTCTGCCGGGCCCTCTCCTGCCAGGGGCACAGGGTGCCATGCGGCAGGTCTCCCTCCAAAAGGGCTCGTTAGCTCGGCGGCGCGGGCCGCTCGGCTGCTCGCAGTCCTAGAAACACAATTATTTGCTCATTATTCTCTAAACGACATCCTGCCCCCAGAGAGAGGGATTAGGTGGGACCGAGGGCAGGCGGGTTGGCAGGAGGGGAGCGCGGTGTAACACACACGAGGTCGGCGCGGTGTGAAAGCGTTTCCAGGCGGCTGCCAGGCTTGAGGGAGCCCCGCTTGCTGGGGACGGTCCCTCCGAGCGGGCTCCCAGGCGCCCGCAGAGCCCGTGTGGCAGCAGCCGCGCTGCGGAGCCGCCGCCGCGCTCCCTCCCCCAGCCCGGCTATTTTTGCTGAATTAAGAAGGTGACATTATTCTTCTTTTCAAGTACTTCTGTTAATATTGAAAAACGTGCGCTTGCATTTCAAGCGCGCGCGCTCAGCCTCAGCAGCCATTTCAATATTAATGAAATTGTTTAATCTCCTAAATTCATCGTGTTTAAGTTACGTTTTGGTGAGTTATTGACCGACTCCGAAAATACTGTTAATGGAGTTGATGTGTATTCACCACAAAGGCTCTTCCTCCCAGGGCTTGCAGCTCCCGCGACAATCTTTAGTTCTGGCTCTAGGGTGGCAGGATGCTCCGCAGCCGCGGGAATACACATCATACAAACTTCCCCCCTGTGCCAGGGCAAGCCTGGGACCTTCCTGGCCTGATCCTCGCCCCCCGACACGCGGCTGGCAGCGAGCTGCTCGTCTGGGCTGCGCTTCCAGGATCGGGCCTGTGTTCCCGGGGAGGAGGGAGAGCGGTGGAGCAGAGAGAGCCGCAACTCGGGTGCTCCACGCCCTGCCTGCTCCTCCACGCGCGAGTGCGCGCCGAGCAGCACACAGGCAAGCCAGCAGTCTGAGACACAGCGCGTAAATCCCGCAGAAGGCGTCAAACTGAGGATACTGAGCACCATGACCGGTGACAGGGACCGGGCAGCCCCGCGGGACCCCCCCAGTCCCGAGGCCGGCAGGGCGGAGGGACAAGCGGACCCTCCGCGGCCCCGCGAGCAGAACAGCGGCGTGGAGGGAGCTCGTTCCCGAGCACACTGGGCTGTGCCACGGCCGGGAGCCCGCTCGCTGGGATTATTTAGGGTGACTCCCACCGGCTTTACACCAACAGGTCCGCAGAACCAGCCCTGCATGGGCTGGGGGGGAAGGGTGGAGCGTGGGGGGGACAGTAAGTTCCCGGGGCGGCGGCTACCGAGGAGCCCCGATCTTATCGCTCCTCGAAAGAACCTTCGCTCGGGGAGAGCGGATTTGGCAAAGAGAAAGTCTCTCGTTACAGGGAAAAAGGCTCGCCTTAAGTTAGCCAACAATACAAATCAGATAACAATGCAGAACAAACAGAATACCACAGCCAAGCAATTTCCATGTCAAACATCCCACTGCTCAGTACCTCCATTTGTAAGTGTGAATTGCAGACTAAGCTTCCTGCGAAGTCCACAGAGAGGTTAGTGCATACCTTCCCCCCCACCCCCAGCCACCGGGTACCATCGCACTGCAATTCCGCTGGCGGAGCCTTTTCACCCCTCGCCTTGTCTTCAAATGGAAATGATTCCCATTGGCCCAAGGTGTCCATGTAAATAGGTGTAAATGAAACCAGATTATGCCTTTCTCTCCAGCCCCCTCCTCCCCGCTCCCCTCCCCCTGCTCCCAAGGCGATTGTCATATGATAGCAAAGAAGTGGCACATTAATGAAGCGCCTCTACAGGGGTCTTTTCTGCTCATGTCACCACATAAAACTATCAGATGGTTAGAGGAAGGACATGGAGGCAACTACTTAGCTCATCGCGGCAGCAGAGAAGCAAACAAGCCTCTGCTCCGGTCCAGCCGCCGGTGGTGTAAAAGAAGCTGATTCAGCCCGCGGAGGCGAAGGGAGGGGTGTACAAGAGGATTCCCAAAACCAAGCCAGCTCGCTGCCTCCTCAGGACTAAATCGGAGCAGAGTGGCCGCGAAAGGAGCGACAGACACGCCGGAGGAGCGGGGTGGGAAGGAGCCCGGACTCTCAGCTGCGTCCCGGATGCGGACTGTCAACTTCCAGCAACTCTAAGGTGGGCATATACGGGGAGTAGCATGGAGTGGGAGACGAGGGGAGGGGAGGGAATGGGGTCCCCTTCTCCTCCTCGCCGAGACCAGAAGACAGAGCTATCACTAGAGTAACTTTACGGCCGCGGGCTGCAGCGGGAAGGCCGGGCTCAGGGAGGCCGGAGCTGGGAGAGGCACACCGTTTTTCCCCCGCCGGCGGCACAGAGCTCCGGGCTGTTTTCTCCTGCCCCCATCCTTCCACACACCCCCACGCCCCCGCCCCCACCCCGAGGGCTGAGGTCCATCGTGCCCCTTCCCTGCGTCCTTCTTTCTCCAGCCCGGCCCCAGACCCACCGCCTGCCCCCACCGGGTGTCCGTGCAAATCCTCTCGGACTCACCCTCTCTCCCCACCCCGTCCCCCCCCCTTCTCGCTGCCCCTCTGCAGATCTCCCCGGTCGCCTTGCGAAGATGCCTCGCCCGGGCAGAAACACTTACAGTGATCAGAAGCCTCCCTACTCCTACATCTCGCTGACCGCCATGGCGATCCAGAGCTCCCCGGAGAAGATGCTGCCCCTGAGCGAGATCTACAAGTTCATCATGGACCGCTTCCCCTACTACCGGGAGAACACGCAGCGCTGGCAGAACTCCCTCCGCCACAACCTGTCCTTCAACGACTGCTTCATCAAGATCCCGCGGCGCCCCGACCAGCCGGGCAAGGGCAGCTTCTGGGCGCTGCACCCCAGCTGCGGGGACATGTTCGAGAACGGCAGCTTCCTGCGGCGCCGCAAGCGCTTCAAGGTGGTCAAGTCGGACCACCTGGCCCCCAGCAAGCCGGCGGACGCGGCGCAGTACCTGCAGCAGCAGGCGAAGCTGCGGCTCAGCGCCCTCGCGGCCACCGGCACCCACCTGCCCCAGATGTCCACGTACAACCTCGGCGTGTCCCAGCCCTCCAGCTTCAAGCACCCCTTCGCCATCGAGAACATCATCGCCAGAGAGTACAAGATGCCCGGGGGCCTCGCCTTCTCCACGATGCAGCCCATGCCGGCCGCCTACCCCCTCCCCAACCAGTTGACTACGGTGGGCAGCTCCATTGGCACGGGCTGGCCCCACATGTACAGCTCCGGCATGATCGACACCGCCACCCCCATCTCCATGGCCAGCAGCGAGTACGGCGCCTACGGCGTGCCCATCAAGCCTCTGTGCCACGGGGGGCAGACTTTGCCGGCCATCCCCGTCCCCATCAAGCCGACCCCCGCCGCGGTGCCGGCCCTGCCCGCCCTGCCCGCGCCCATCCCCACCATCCTGTCGAACTCGCCGCCCTCCCTCAGCCCCACGTCCTCGCAGACGGCCACCAGCCAGAGCAGCCCGGCCACCCCCAGCGAGACTCTGACCAGCCCCGCGCCCGCCCTGCACTCGGTGGCCGTGCACTGACCCGGGCCGCCCGCGCGGACTCTGCCTTCCCTGTCTCCCAAAGTTTCCTCGGAGCTCTCCTCCCTCCCCGCCTCTTCCTCCTTTCCTCTCTCCTCTCCGCTCTTTTCCTCGAAAGCAGAGACAACTCCCCGCGGGAAGCTGAGGTTCGCCGTGAGCCCTCCCTCGGGGTTCGGCTTCGCCGCTGCTCCTGAACTTTGCTTTCCGTTCTCCCGAGGCGAAAGGACCCGGCCCGGCCCCTCCCGCCCGGTAGGAACTGCCACTTGCATCGCTAGTTTTCCAAAAGTACTTGAGGCGAGCCTGGCCCGGCGACGCCTCTTCCCTTCCCTTGTACGGGGAAGAGCAGGGTTTATCCAGGACCGGTCTGTGATTCCTCAGACAGGGATGGCCGCTGCCTTCCTGCACGGGAGCGGCGGCGTTTCCAGCCTCCAAGCAGCCAAGGCTTGGGTCTTGGAAACGCCGGGAAGTGCTCGCGTCCTTTGTGCGGATCTCGTTGTTACAAAGGGCAGGGTTTCCCGGGGCCAGGTTGCGGGAATCCCCGCGCAGGGGGTGCGGGGCCGGCCGGGAACAGGAACCACGCGAGGGAACCGCGGCTGTCCACTCACCCCACACCTACAATGTTTACAAAGCGCCTGTTCTAATGTAAATACCGAACTTGCATCTGTACTGTACATCAGAGGGGGTCCCTTTTGCAGTACCTGTTGTAACGTGGATGTTCACTGTAGTTTTCAGGTGAAAGAGAAGTTGACTCGTCTGTTAACTTCTGATTAACCCGAAGGTTTCGGGAGCTGAGGTTTTCTTTGTTGTTGTTGGGGTTTTGTTGTTGTTGTTTTTATTTTTAAAATTTTGCAGCTATTTATTTCATAGCTTAAAAACAAACAACAACAATAATTATAATAAAAAGAAACCTGTTACCAAGCACACGACCCGACATAGCTTAACGAAAAGCTGCTGAAGTCACTGATAAAATGTGGAAAAGTAATACAATAGCAGGTACAAACTGTGGAGGTCATCCTGATTTCTGCTGGAGCTTTGCAGACAAGAGAGGGGGCTAGGGAAACTGTAAATGTTTGTGCATATGAATGATTATAAACTGTGTAAAATGCACTTTTGTTTGATATACTCCTTTCTAGTTTTAGGTAGTTTGCTGGAAACTGAACTGTTGTTCTGTTGTGAACTGCTTAAATTAAGGAAAAAAAAAAAAAGAACACCCCCTCCAAATGGCATTAGTGTCTATTGAAACTGTAAAGACATTTCTTTTTAACTTTTTTTTTTTCCTGTACAGAATAAGCATGGTATTTTAAATATTGGTGTTCCTGTTCCCAGCATGTGTGTTTTAAGACAAAGGTTAAAAAGTGTCTACGTTAAATTATGAATCTAGTCGTCCAAATAATATTTTCTCATTAAAATATGTAAATGCAGATTTAGTTTTCTTATTTGTCTTTTTAAAGAGTTTACAGGAGAAAAGAAAAAACCCACATTAGTTGACGACAAAGGAGTGACGCTGTTCCAATATTTAGATAATCCAAACAGCCTTTTCACTCAAGGTTACTGTAAATGTAGTTATTAACATGCCACAACGTCTCAGATAAAGTTGTCGTTATTGCCGGTTTAGCCAAGGGATAACGCACTGAGAGTGTTCTGTGGGGTTTATACACCCGTGCATATTCGCACACACATTCTGCGTCTGTGCCCCCCACACTCACACCGAACACAACCACGAATTACATTTACACCTGTTTGTGTGTGACTCATCACCCACGCACTCCCAGTTACGTGTGAGCTAAAAGGCATAAAAATCAGCAAGCTCCTGCAATACAGAGCAAACACAAAAACCTTTAAAGAATTAGTTACTTTTTAAGACTGAGAATACTGATATTTTTTTCCCCAGTAGTGTTTTTTTCTTACAAGTGGCATCTCAAAGTCTTTTTCGAGTAAAAGTGAGCTATTGTAGCCCTTCACCTGTCGTTTCAGCCTCCTCAAGCACAACACTTAGTCCAACCACTGCTATAATTTCTCCATCTCTATTGATCAACACTTTCCAAAGACGGCAGGTTGCAAACTGTAACACTTACAATTATACCCGTTTTTTCTGTAATTAAATATCCAGTCCCTTTTAAGAAGTAAGGGCAACGTAGTTACAATGAAAACTGGATTCCGGGCACTTTCTAGCGGGGTTCTCCAAAGCTGTTAGGGATTTTGCAAGGATTCTGCGACCGCTGGAAATGACAGAAGCGATCAATGAAATTACTAACGAGGTGTTTCGGAGATGAGGAGTCTGCGAGCACAGTTATGAGCCGACCACACACTGAAGTGCTTCCTAGCAAGAAAACGACATTGTATTCTAATGAACCGACAGGATTCGCGAGTTCTACGGCAATGATGTTACAGAGGTTTTGTCTCTGACGGATCTCTCTCTGAATTTCTGGACCATAAACACAGTAAGTGACATCCCCATTTCCTTATTACGAACCACAAGGTCCTTGCAAAAGTTTTAAGATTAATGTAGAGGGCAATTAATCCAGTTGCGACCATTTTTTCAAAAAGGGAACGGATCCCACACACAGAAAAAAGGTGGAAAATACATGAATCATTGGGCTGATTAAAATGCATGAAGCTGCTAAAGCTTGTCAGATGGGGGACAACTGAACTCATTCATCAAGTCCAACCCACGATTATATCAACACGATCAGCTAAAGAAAGCATTCAAAACTTATCACCAGATCAATGGACACATAACTCGACAAACTTTTCCTAAACAAGCGATGACCTACATTTTTAGACGACGAGGACGCTTTTTCTCCTTCCTTTTTTTCTTTTAAGATCTAGCACTCAGAATAAATCCTCAAAGATGAAACCCGAGCTCAGCTGAGAAGATGAAGCTGCACTTTCAGAGTTGTATTTTTTTTTTAACTACCCAGTAACGGCGGAGATAACGATCTGAAAAGATTATGCCCCAAAGCAAAGTATTTTCAAAAGGTGCAATAGCTGCATAATGCGGTGGTATGAGTCGCCACCGTACTTTTAAAGTGCCATTTTCCTGCCTATCTCTGCGGTTGCCCGCGCCTTTCCCAGCCCGAGGACCCCCCTGGGCCGCGCTCCTCCGCGCATCTCCGCCCGCGCCCCGATGTTGTGATGCTGCTCTCCAGCAAACACGCAGCTCAGCGCCTCGCTCGAATTTACTGCTTTGACTTGTTAAATCTCCCTAATGGCTCAAGTCCAATGTCAATAAACACAGATCTGAAATGGAACAGCGAGAGACAACAGCGCGGAGGGAAGGGGCGCGGGGGGGGCGAGGGAACGGCCCCGGCCGAGCTCTCCGCCGCCTTCACGCATTTCGTGGGGGGTCGGGGGGGGGAATCTTTATCTTTTTTATTTTATTTGCCAGCGAGACATTGTAAGCTGAGCGTACTTGATGCAAAGGGAGCGTGCATTGCAGGCAAAAGCTCTTTTCTTCCGGAGGATGGGTTTGAGCGCGGCTGTGCAAGGTAAGCCCGAGAACCCAGCCGGGCTTGGCGGCTCGGGCTTTTGCTCCCTGTCAGCGCATGGTATGTGAATCCTTTCCCGGCGGCGTATTTCTTTCTTTCTTTCTTTCTTTTTTTTTTTTGTTTTGTTTTCTCTCCCCTCGACATGTGACAAGACACCACCCCACAGGACTGAATCCTCTATTGAAGACAGCCAGCTCTTTCTCTCCCAGAATATTTATTTTCTCTCGGACCGCGCCTTGCAGGGAAGGGCGGTCTGTGCCAGGTAGGGAGAAAAGAACTCCCCGGCGACCCCTGAGAGGGAGTTTTATGAGCCAGCCTTTTTTTCAAAAGTGGTCCTTGGGAAAGGGACAAAAAACTTCTCAGCTTCATCAACTTCAGTGCCGAATTATCTGGGATTCTTAATATAAATATCACTTTGTGTGTTGCTTGTTTTTTTGTTTTGTTTTTATTAACAAAAAGAAACCGAGGCTGTGAAGCCTTGGAGGGGCTGTATTTGTTTCTTTTAAACTAACAACAAATTATCTAATTAATATGTTTCAATTACAGCATGAAAAAGAGAGGCTTTGGACCGCCTGCAGTGGGTTTACAATAGCCCCAGAGCCCACTATAAGAATTTACAATAACTTCACATCTGTTTCTTTATTTCCCACTTTTCGAGTCTAAAACTCCTCTTGAAATCACTTCAAACCGTGGCCCAAGTTATGAAATATGGTCTCTCTGCCAGGAAAAAAAAAAAAAAAAAAGGTAGAAAGAAAAAAAGGACAAAACTTTGCAGATCGAGGCTTCATTTGCAAGCTAGAAAGTGAAAGCCCCATTGAAGAGCATTAAACAAATATATTAGAATTCTGTCACTTTATGCAATTGAGTAGATCAAATAAAGGGTCCCAGGCCACTTCATTCACTCTCATTCACTTGAATAGAAAATGCAAAGAATAGCAAACCTAGACTGGGCCACCGATGTAGATTTAGCCCTTTTTTTCTGAGAGACAAAAAGGCTGAATTTTCACAAACACATTGCTGACTCGGGGACTAGGAAACCAGCACTGAAACCCCTTTGGAATTTAAATTCATTTTATCTTCCTCTCTCTTTCTGGGTCCCTTTGCGCTACAGGGCGAGTTGCACTGGCACCCTTGCTCGGAAAAAAAAAATACAACACAACACATCAACAACAACAACAACGGTTCCAGATTTACCCAGCCGAGCCGCAGCACAGTTTGGACGGTGAGGTTTTATTTGCAAGGAGAAAAGAGGCCCCAGCCGGTCTCTGCCCGGGCTGCCCCGCGGCCCTTCCCGAGTCGGGCAGGTCCCACCCGCGCTCGGGGCACGGCGCACACGGGGAGGGGACGGCACGGAGAGGGGGAGAGTCCACACCCTCCCGCTCAGCACGGGCTGGGATCACCCGGCTACGGCCACAACACCGCACGGCACAGGGCACGGCACAGGGCAGAGCACAGGGCACGGCACAGAGTGTGGCACAGGGCACGGCACAGAGTGTGGCACAGGGCACGGCACAG